GCCGCGGGAGTCCAGTCCCCCAGCCTGCCCCGAGACCAGAGACGCGTCCTCCCACCTTCACCCCCGGGAACCCCGACGTCAACCCCTTCCGGCCGGCCTGGCGGGGATCACCAGCCCTGGCGACGGACCGTCGCGTCTCTCGCAGGAGCCGGAGTGCCGAGGAGCCCCCCGGACCGCCCCCGGCGCCGAGGGAGGGTCCAATAAGCAGCGGCCGGCACCCCAGGGTTACCCTGTTATCCTGCTCCGAGCTGTCGGCAAGAGGCTGTGCTCTGGCTTGACGGTGTAACGAGCCCCTCTCTGCCCCCGAAGCGTGTGCCCCTTCGTCACCCCGAGGCACTCACCGGCGGGGCAGTCTTCCTCGTCGCTGCCGTCGGGGCAGTCGGCGTAGCGATCGCACACCCAGCTGTCGACGATGCAGGCCCCCGAGGTGCAGCGGAACCGGTTGGGGGGGCAGGAGGCGGGGCCGGCGGGCGTGGTGCGCTGGGGCCACACGTCTGATCCTGCGGGGGCAACAAGACGACAGCGCCCCGAGGTCAGCGCTTGACCTTTCACCTCCGCGCTCCTGGCCTGTCCACGCAGGACACAGACCCACGCAGGACTTCCTCGGGAGGACCCTGCCAGCGAACACCTCTACACAAAGGGGGGCGGGAGTGTGAAACAAGCTACCCGGCCATCGAGAGAGGAAGCTCAGGTCGCTCTTTCGCTGCACTGCAGGACGGGGCGGAAAAGGGCCGGAGATCAAGGTCAGTGGCGTAGGCACCCGAATACAACGAAAAGCTCACCTGCATGTTCTCCCTCCCATGACAAATGACATAATGGGTGACTTAACACTGACACAGAAAATGACATCACAGCTCTTGGAGACAGGAACAGGGCAGCAGCAATCATTCAACCAGCATTTAGAGAGCAGCCGTGTGCAGAATTCAGCAGTGGCCGTATTTTCAGCTCCATGCAAAATTCAAGTGGTGGCAGTATTTTGAGTTCAGAGGGGTGTAAGCAGGGGGAGGATTTCAGAGGTGGGTTTCAGGAGTCTTATGGCTGTGGGGTAGAAGCTGTCTTTGATCCTAGAGGTTGTGGCTTTTATAGAAAGTAGAAGAATAAATAATAACCCCTCACACTTCTAGAGCTCTTTTCCACTCAAAGCTCTTTACAGGTCATGGGGATCCCCTCCACCCCCACCAGTGTGCAGCCCCACCTGGATGATGCTCCAGTCCTCTCCCCA